TAATCATTGCTTAAAATCCTTTGAATGTAGACACCGACCGATCGATTTGTGGTTTGCTTTGTCTTTTTGGAGTGACGCTCTGACACAATCTTGTCCAGCTCACTGTTTGAAAGTGATGCAAATCTTGACGTATTATTACTAGGCTGATCAAATGACAACTCTATACTAAATGTTGGAGATTGATGAGTATTTTCGCTAGTTTTTTTCAATCATTTTCAGTTATCTTTTCTAGATAAATTGTCAGCAAAAAGATACAAAAAATTTTTTTTTCCGCCGAAGCTAAAAAAGCTGACGTGAGCGTGCAACCCATGGGCAAATGGTTCATGCTTTTCAACCAATCAGATCGCGCGGATTTACTTGACTATATTATAATATTGATTTGAAAATAAAGCTCTTGTTTTTGATTCCATTGTTTAAGGAAGCTTGATTTTCAAGTCATAAATAATGTTTATTAGGTGAGGTATGTCTTGAACTGTAATATATTGATATTCTGTGTGTGTATCATGAAGCACCTCAAAAGTAATAATCATAATCCCATGAATAGCATTTTAGGTGAAACAAAATGTGACTAAAGTCAAAATAATCATTTTGTACAAAGAGTGTAGTTTTTAACAGTGAGAATTTAGTGTTTCTTAATTTATAAAACCATCCATATATAAAATGGAAAGGTGGAACATGTATTATTTATTAGTACCACATATGTGGTGTTTTGTATCTAATAGATAAGCAACAGAGAGTGGCATTTGGAATGAGGAATTTTTCTCAAATGAAAAAAAGTTAGTTGGTCTCTTTGCGTGGAATAAGTTCTTAGGCTTATCCATTCTCTCAAATATAGGTCCCGTGATGATTACCAAGTTTTCAATATTTAATTCTAGCATACTTTCCCATAGCCCATAATACTTTTTACCTGTACTGATCATTTATCAGTTTATTTTTAGTTAATTTTGTTCGTTTAGAACATCAAGAGGTTTGGTGTTACAGAAAATGTATTCATTTCAATGGTTAAATATACAAAGAGGTGTTTAAAATTTACTTCAAATTTCAAGATCTCTAAATGTTGTATTTTATATTTGGATATTAAACGAGGTATTTTCAATATTGTCTGATCAGCTTTTAATATAAGTGCAGTTTCCCTGCAAAGTATTATGGCTATGCGGAAGTAGAGATCTCCCAAAAGTTCTAGATTGTCCTTCACATGACTAAGTTGTGTGGTAATATGACATTCCAGGTGACTGAAATAAACATGATTTGGCTGACATGTTAGGAATATGTTATAAAGTTCTAATCAGAAGTAGTTGAATTATCCAATTCTTCTTTCAGCATGGTCAAGTAATCAAAATATCCAATCTTTTTGCAGCATGGTCAATTATTGACTCTTTTCAGGCATGCCAATTTAATGAAATGTGCTAATGAACATGTAATCATTTCTGAACAGATTGGTCTGTCTGAGTTGCCATAACCAGTAGTATTATATTTACTAGACAAATTAATGTTTCTTGCAACTTGCCTGAAATATGAGTCATGATTGTTTCAAATTGTGAGTGAAATACCCAGAACATGTCACGATTTTGACAATTTCGACCTTTTGTAATGATTGTCACAACATTGTCTAGAGAAACAACCCACCTGGAGCTTGTCTAGCAATGATTTGTTATGATAGCCAACAAAATAGACCTCTTAATTAAGCTTGGGCATGTTTTTCTCATTTCAAACCAATTTTTGGTTTTCACGTGACTTGATCAAAAAACTAAAACCAAAAAGGTATTCACTCCACAAAACTTTTTGTTGAATTGCCACGTTATGGTCATACAATTTCACTGTTTCCGACCATTCTGAGTGTGCAACATTACATGTTCCCCAGAACAAAACCATAAGTGATTTTACAGGAAATGTAAGATTTTAAGAATCAAATAATCAATAGATCAATTAATTGCTGTTTTGACCATAAAACACTGTTTTCCTAGTYCCAGTAAGTAACACTTTTTTCTTATAATGAGTTAAGAGACAAATTGCAAGAAACGTTGCCTAGATAACTGGACCTTCAAGCTTCTAACGATTATTGCTGTCTAAGATTAAATGTTTGGTGAAAAGTTCTAATTTCAGGAGAGATTACATGTCACCACTACTGGTTGTGCATGCCATGCTTTTCCCAGCAACATTTGAATCAGCAGAAAACGAGATTGAAAAACATATACAGTACTATAGTCAACAGTGTAAGCAAAATAAAAGTTACTGATTACATAGTGGGCATGTGTATAAGGTCATTGTAAATAGATACCAAATAAAAACTGTTTTTTCAAATTGACTGTGATTTAAGAAATCTTGACTGGGTATTATTTGTGGTGTACCTTTTAAGTTTGATTGAAAAATGCATTGCTGCCAACAAGATAACTCACCATCATGTTACCATAGCAACACATTGACGTTAATTATTATTGTGACCTATACACATAGGGGAGAATAAAGCACTAATAGGCCTTTTGCAACAGCAGGTCACGTGACCCTATTCCCTATAAAAAGACGTGTCAAAATGAACACTGAAAATGGAAAGAGCACCTCAATATTAGTGAGAAGGCAAAGTTTTAGCTTATAACATGTAATACAGGAAAAATAGAATTAAAGACAAAATCGAATATTTTATAAGGGTTTGTATGGAAAAAATGTGCTGAATCCAGCACTTTTCCCCACATACAAATCCTTATAAAATATTCAATTCTATATTCAATGCCATTTCTTCTACAGTCAACATGATGAGCTACTTATTAATATAGACGTGCTCTTTCCATTTCTGGGGCCGACTGTATGAAGCCTGGACAGCACTATGCAATGGATAAATCTTATGCAGCGGAAAAATTTATTGGATAACAGCATTGACTTATCCATTGGATAGGGATTTATCCACTGGATAGGCGCTATCCAGGCTTCGTACAACCGG